GTACGCATGCGGGTGACCGCTACGAACTATAAATACCGTGCAATTTGTGCATTTATAACCCTTATCTGCGCATGTCTCAGACTTGTTTACGATACTGCAACCCATTGTGCATGAATTACCCGTTTCTTATTTTGTCTCTGCTCATGTATCCGCGACGGATTTCAAAACGTTAGGTGGATAAAAGCCTTGTCCCAGCGATGACATTTATTTCTTCTTGATTGCTTTCTGGGACTCGCATGTTCGCCGGGTTCTTACCTTTAGCACATCTACTTAAGTATATATTCGTTTGCCGGAACTCAGACGGCGGCGGTAACTCAGTAGATCTTTATTTGTGGCAGTTGTTCAATCTGTGATGCTAGCTCAGTCTTACAAGCTCTAAAATTGTTCGTTCTTTTCGCATGAATTGAAAAAGAATCAGCGTTTTTTTATCTGACCCGCCTTTCAGATAATCGCCTCTGACAACTATCCCCGTAATCAGCCTCAGATCCGTTTCCTCACACCAATTTTTCATCCCAACATTCATCCAGAGACTGGCAGAATTTGCCTCAGCATACTGGATGACTGGAGCAGGTACGCTGCCTCTTAAGTACTGTTAAGTACAGTTTATTTGGTGATGGTAATAGGCAATGCTTTTGAAAACCCTAGTGTTTTCACGCCAGTGCGACATATGCGTCTGCACACGTACGCGCAAAGGTTTCACTTTTAAAATAGTATTCACAAACTGCATGAAGCATTTTTTTACAAAAAACTATTTTCTGGAATTTGTGTGGGGAAAAACGGAGAATGCATATAATTATCCGAGAATTTCATCTTCTTTTTTCTTGCATTTAGTATTTACAGTCTCCTCGACGCCATCAAGGCGGTCCTCTTTCTTCTTTCCAATCCAAATTTTGATGATCCCAATAACTCCTTCGGTACCTTGGACCCAGGATACCAGGACAGATTCGATGAGGTGTGCAGACAATTTCTTGCCGGATTTCCCATCAAGGGCATGGTTCGACCGGCGAACGAGAACTGGTGTGAGTGGGCCTATGCAAACAACTGCTTTCCGGTGCCAAAAAGTGGCCATGCTGAATCGCAACCTTCCACTAAGTCGACTTCAGTGGTGAGTGGCCTCATTTCTTTGCTTTTTAACTAAAGTAGGTTGTCCATACGATGAAATATGGTGGCATAGGCACAGGCCGCGCCCTCCCAAGTTTTACAGTACTAAATTGAGTACCATAAGTAAAAATGGACGTTGGCTGGTTTATTACTTACGGTTTACTAACATTAACATAATTCATTTTCACTAAAAGCTCGAATTCCAGATAATGGCCGTTTTGCACGTCACGGATCTTTTATAAAATATAAAAATATATTTAAGGCAGAGGAGCGCAACAAACGGTAAATTAAGCCGCAATACGTAAAAATACAAAATGTCAGTACTGAGTTGACTGCCCATGTAAATTTAAAACAGCATTAAGTCTGTCAGACAT